CGTGGCGAACATTACGGATTGGGATTCGCGCTTCTGAGTGGGCGGAATTCGCTGAGCAGCTTTGTTTTCGAACTCTTAAGAACCGGGAACAATAAACGGGCGGTTGCTCTAGATTACCACAACGAAATCTGCCAGCGATGGACTAATGCATCAACAGTCTCTGCTCGAGAGTTGGAAAATTTGGAAAAGGGCCAGGACCTGAAAGATTTGCGTAATTAGGCACAGGCTTCCTAAACTGGACCTACTTCTAAGGCTAAGGTAAGAATGAAGCCTGAGTTCACTTCAGCATACAGTGGTAGGTAACTGTTGCAGCAGGGAAATTTAAGGATTTCGAAAAGGATGATTTCGTAGATGAGTAGTTCATACTCGAACTGTAATAGCATTAGCACTACTACAATTATATTATTTTATTATTATTTTGTTGCTCGGACTAAAAATCGACACAAAGTACAAAATTATAATATACGTATTTAACCGTTTTGACATAGCGCTCATAAATCTTTCTATGAACAATCTCATCGTCATATAATTATACACAAATCCTGCTGCTGAACATGAGAAAACAGCGGATGCTAATAAGTAGCTTAATAATCACCTATGTATGATGGATGGAATGATGGCTGGGATGCATGGAGACTGGTAAAGTGAAGATCCCGTGAAGGAATATTAGTCAATTGATTACTACGAAAACATTTCAATATGACAAAAAACCAATGTAAAATGTCACAGAAACATACCGGAATAGGGCAAAGTTTGGCTAATCACAAGCGCCTGAAGCAGTGTGTGAGACGAGAACTTCAATTTCACATTCAATAAATGAGAAACACTGACCACGAAAGAAGTAGTGCATGAATTTGGAATGGCTATGCATTGCGTGCGTTTTATACCAGCCTTTCATCTGCAACTATCACAACGAATTCACAAGCGCTACTAATTCAATATAATTTCTTAGAGAACACACGCTAGAGGGAATTGCAACCCAAAATTCAAAACCATTAATTAGGAAGCGCCGTGAGCGCATCAAAAATTGGACAGTATAAAAAATGGAGATAAGTAGGCGATGAACAAAAACTGACTAAACGGCAAACAAGTTGATGTAAACAGAGACCATACGACAGTGAGCATTCGATGCCGAACTTCAATAATCACAGATGATGCAACCTTGGAGTCAAAGTGCTCTGAAGTTGGAAAATATCTTGAAATGGAATCGATTCCCACAAGAATGTACAGGGGGTCAAAAAAGACATTTTGCCCAGGTCGCACTTCGGCCTTTTTTCTTCGCAGAGATTGCCGTCGTTGACGGAAGTTCCTCAGCAAAATATTCCCTAAATGTCCCTCTATAAGTACACGCAGGCCCTCCTTCACTACCCTCACCGTCTTCAGAATATGACGTCATCTGTCACCGTCGTCGAGCTCAGGAGGCCTACAGTAACTGCTTCAGCCTGAAGCTCTTACATAATTTCTTGGATCGATTCAACGTGGGATAGTTTCCTAGGGACATTAGCTCTAACTATGCAAACCCCTCGGAACCCGCCCTTCGGAACCCGTCGTAACGGTACACGATCAGTCGAGAACCCCATTGAGCTCGACCAGAGCACCATGTTTCCGGGGCAAATTTTCTGATGCCGTCCACGTAGATGGCCACTATGAAGATTTTCTTGGGATTAATAACTGAGTCTGCAGCTGAATTCTTTTTTATTGGCTCCTCTGTAGGCAATTACAAGGAATGAACGGATATCGTTCGAAGGCCATCGCGAGCGAAGAATTTGCGTCGCAGTGGTGTTGCACAAGCAACGTTTGAATTTACTCAGGCGAGTGTGAGATGGCGCTGGTTTGTGATCATAACCCTTTGCGGGAAATGGCGACGCCACCGGTGGGGCTTGCCTATGTGCGTGGCGTCGGGCAATGACACCAATGAGTGGGTGCCAATGATTCTTTTGCGCCATTTAAAATTTGCACATCATAATTGCAAGTTTATGATAAATAATCTATGACTGAGCACGGTTCAGAGTATGGTATTACGAGGATATCTACATTGAATTTTCGAATGTGCCATTTAGACAGCAGCTTTAATTGGGTGTTTGTTATTAGGCTGAATATTTAATTACTATCAGGATTCTTGTCTTGGTATTAACCTGCAGATATGGGAAGGGTTTAGGTGTTTATCGAAATTCTTGCAGGGGACCTACTTTTAAGGTTTTGCTTCCTCGTCTTAAAACTCAGTTCCTTCAATTTGGAATTTTTGAAAGCATATACAGATGGAGAGCTGAACTGCAGTCATTATCTCTATTACTGATAAGAATAGTTTCTATAGGGAACTGTTCTTCTTTTGCCCAATTTTGAGCTAGAGTTGAGCGCGCCAAAAAGAGGCGTGGTCCCATGAGCAAGAAACGTGCAAATCCGCATTGTCGTCAAAGGGTTAAACGCAATCGGTGGATGAACGTCAAGAATATGTAGTTTCCCAACTCCCAGGGTCAACCGTGCGTTAACGAATGGTGTTCAATTTTAAGGACCCTTCTTTTTCGGGAGGATATCGGGTAAGACCGCGTATACTTTCATGTCTTTCACATAATTTAATGCTCATCAATGATGGCAGTCACCAACATGGAGAAGTGGTGGACCGTGGTCAATCCGCGCGCTTTGTCTCGCTCAGAGGAGGAAATCGAGGCAAATGAAGTTTTATTCATTAAATAGAAGGAATTTCAAATTTTTGCGTAACAGCTAATGGATTGGTGATACTAAGATTTCTACTTTCAGGACCGGCTAGTTTTTTTGATTCTATCGAAATTCTTCTTTTATATATGACCAGATTAGTCCCCCGTCAACCGCCGGGACCTTCCTTTAATGCGCAAGCTTTCTATCCTCCGCTATGGTCCCTTCCTCCTGTGACACCAACACCTCCTGGAAGTGACGCGTATGCAACACAATGGTGTTTCATACAGTAGAAGGGACACAATCATGATATGACGGTAGATTTTTCGCTTCCCTTCCTCATCCTCCCTTCCTCTCTCCACTGCCCTCCAGCTGCCACTGCAGCACCATGTGGAATGAACGGAAGTGTGCTAAGCAGGTGTTTATATAGCCCTGAGAGTGTTATCACAACTATCCTGCTACAAAACATGATATCTCAAATCCTGTAAGCTACCCGATTTGTTAGCGGTTTGTTTATCCCATGAGCTTCCTTCTCACTCACTTCATTTTGCGGACGGACACACATACATACATACACACACATACATACACACATACAGACATACAAACCGACACACAAAGTTAGCGCTTTATAAATAGTAACTGAACCTGCGTAGCATTACGCTGCATACCAAACCCTCTATTCAGTTATATTTTTCTTAGAAGTGGTCCGATGAAGAAGGAGCAAAAATTTCCAAAAATTCAAATTAGTTTCCCTCTAGGAAAGAATTTTATATGTTGCAAACTTCATTTACAGGAATGTCCGCTGTTCCTTTTTCTGTTACACGGATGTTTTCAAATACAAACCATTTCTTACTTTCTTTATACATTGTTGCAGATGAAGGGTATTCAAATTAGAGTATCAGGCGCTTTTCATCAAGACTTTAGGTCTTGAAGCGATCGTTTCGCAAAGTTTCCCGTTCTCCGTTTTGAGGGGTTTGTGGTCACGTTTTTAAGAAGCGTGAGTCAGTTCTCGATCCAAAAGTATAGTTTCTTCATAGCCTATAGTTTTTGGATATGTTTAGAGGTGATTAGAACAGAGATTGAGGTTGCATAGTGCCATAAACTTTTTTTTTAAAGAATCACTCGCTAAAAAGTCCCGTTGTCGTTTTTTCCCTTGAATTTTTTTTGACATGTTTCGCTGAACGCGACTTTGCAATTTTCGAGGCCGTACTTATTCACAAGTTCAAAGATGAGAAGCGGTGAACTATTAGACTCCCCCGCAAAAGTACTTTCGAAAAAAATTGTGAAACTCCACCAAAAGTTTTTTTTTCTGCCTTTATTTCCAAGGGGTTTCTAGAACTCAATTCAGCAAGTTCGCTACAGTTTGTTCCGCTTAGATTTGATTTGGAAGCATCAAAATTTTCTTTGTAAGTTTGTTGCTCACGGCCCCTGACAGAGAAAGCGTTTTTGTGGGAAAACGCCTGCTCGGGTATACGCCGCGCACCTGTCTGTGGTTAGAAGTCGCACTCGCATTTGAAGATCCTCCATCTTGGACGAAGAAGGTGTTGTGTATCGTAATTGAGTTGCATTGTACTGCTATATGGTACTCTTGTCTCACTTTCCATGAACTACTCTACACTTTACTCTCCTTGGGATTCGGGAATGTTCGATCATCGAAGATAGACCATGTTTTGGCATAATTTTAAGCTGTACAGAGTTTTTGGCTATTTAAATCTTGATCTATGCTGTCGAGCGGAAGCGCCGTCCGTGTGTTAAGGATCACAATGGCTGATAGTGAGACTTATAATGCTCTGCATGCTTTGGGGGGGAGGGGATGCCGCTCTGTGCGACGTCTTCGACAGCTGCACGGTGAGAGCTGGGAACATCTAGGCGGAAGATGCACTACGGATATTGACGTTTCAAGCCGCTTTGAAGCGCGTCTCTTTAGATACGACCTCTCGTTTGTTTCGGCGCATTCCGCCTGTTGTTCTTTGCGCAAAGGGCGGTACAGTGGATCCCCCCCCGTTACTGAGGGTCTACTCACCTATGACGTTCCATAGGTATCAAAAGGGGAGCACACCCACTTCAGTGATCGAACCATGCCTTTCGAGTTCTACGAATTGCAAGTGCGCGATAAATCTCTCAGGGACGACAATGAATGTATTAGCAATAAAATTCGGGCTAACCTTAACTATGGCTAGACCAATGACGCTGGTTTAGAAGACAACTGATCTTCCCTGAAATTAGCTTCCTCCTGTTCTAAAGCACGAGCGGCTTCCTTGTCGAGCTGATCAAGTTGATCCTGATGGCGCTTCGCAAGCTGCTCCTCGTGTTTCTCCGCTCTTAATGAATTATACGTAAGTTATAGGCGAGCACCTTTAGAGAAATTTCACCACAATCAGCAAATTCGCTAACTTTTTCGCTAATCGTTTCCTTTCCTCGACAAACATCTTCAAGTTCTTCTCATGCAGCTCCTTCAACCTCCGCTCTCTTTCTGCCTTCGTTTTGATTCCCTTGTCCTGAAACACAATGACTAAGCACGGCTTAAACAATAACAGTGCATAAAACAATGTAAGGCCACATGGACTCACAAGGTTGAGGATTTTGGCGTCTTCCATGCTCTTTTTGGTCTGCGTTTGTTTGAGCTCCTTTGTTTCGCTTTCGAGTCGGAGTTTGAGACCTTGCATTTGTGCCTTCTGCGCGTCTAGCAGAAGTTTCCTATAAAAATCAAAATAACCCATTTCCCGCGAAATCGAGCAACAATACCTTCAATGAATCCTCTGAATAGTATAATATTAAAGTAGAAGTACAAGCCAAACGTTATACCCTTCAAATGGGATAAAAAAAACTACTACGTCTGTTTCAACGAATACGTTCACAGTACTGGATTGTAAAGCTCCACTAATGTGCTGATCCCACTACAGCACCAAGCTGACAATTTACAGCCGAATTTAAAGCCATCACTAAGCAACTCTATGCACTAGAGAATTAATGGGCAATGGGTTAGTTCTCAGGCTTTTCTAGTCAATGATCACATTACAAAGTGTCTATCGTGTGTAAAACATCATTAGAGCCTCTCAATAATGATTTTCGCATCCTTCACATGTCAAATAAGATTTACACCTGCGAAAACATTTCACCTCCCAGCTTATTATTGGCCGTTTTGACCTACTCACCTGAGTGTTTCTGTCTGCTCTTTCAATTGTGCTTTCCTCATCTCGAATTCCTCTGCTTCATGCCGCCTCATCATCGCTGACCACTCGTCTGTCTGCACATTGACAAGAGAGCGAACCTGAAAGAGCTATCGAATGTGCTGCCATCTAGTAATTTCGAAGCTTATTCCTCGATGATGTGATGGAGCAGCAGGGTTCAGAAATGAGACTCCGGGTGCGATATGGCTCACCAGCAAAAATTTTTAAGAGCCTCAAGTGAGACCCTTCTTGGAGATAATTTTTACTGTTATAAACGCCAACACTTAACACTGCACTGTGGAGCACTTAACGCTGAAATTGAACAAATTTCCAAGATCAGGGTTCGAGCGAGGTGCAGACCCCACCCAAACCATCAATTTCTGGCGGAAGTTTACGAGGAACAAAGCAATCGTTCGGAACCAATTGGGAAATAATAGCGTCACTTCTACGCCACCTACCGCCCAGTGTCAACCGTGACGTGTGGTCTACGGATATAGACCCCCTTCTCTCCAACCTCCTAGCTGACAGCGCGAACGCGTCGATAGGGGCCGTTGAAGCTATTCATACCTGGCACGCAAAAAATTGCAAACTCCCCAAAGTACAAT